TTAATTCTTAATCCTACAACCACAGGAATCTGCTAGAGCACTGTCTCTTTAAATATACAAAATAGTCAAGCCGCCTTTTAAACCTTCAAAATGGCAGCGTCCTCCAGACCGGCAAAAGTCCACAGCTCAGCCCACCTTTCTCTTCACCTTCTCTATTTGTTCCCCAGCCACCGTGCACAGTCCATGCAGTCCCTGGCTAGCAGGGTGATTTTTAGGTTAATTTTTAGGTCCTACCACCACTCAGGAATGTCCAAGCCGTTTGTGCCGTCAGGGGCGTTCAGATCCCTGCCAGACCGCAGCTCCGTATGTCTCCTTTTTTGGTATTTTCATGCAAATTCTTCTGCTAGTTGCGGTTTAGTCTACTTCTGTATCCTTCCCTTCAAGGCTCAGGGGTCCAAGATTATCTTCTGTGTCTGTGTCAATTGGTTTCCCTTGTCTTTGTTGAAGAGGGTCTGTGCAGTCCTTCTGCCTAGTCCACCATCTTGCCGGAACTCTCCAAGAATACTCTTTGGAACAGTTCTCTGTTAACACATGGGGTCACCAAGAGTCAGAATCAACTCAATGGTAATGAGTGGGTTTGGCTTTTTTGGTGGGGCAGTTTTGGGCCTGCCGCCTCTAGGACCCTCAGTCTCAAACCAGGTCTTGCATTGGTGGCTCAGGCTCTAATACCAAGAAGATATTGATAGTAGTAACACAAATCAAATACCAAAGTAGCACAAAGCATAGCTCAAGTCTGTTATAAGGCTAACTACTCTCTACTTTGCTTAAAGAATGCTTGGCCATCATACAAATTGCAAAATAAGATTGATGACAGAAATCAATTCCATGAAAAATCAGTGGTTGGGTTGGGTTTCTGACTGTGTATGTATTGTGTCAAATATTTAAAGGCAGTTCCCTTAGATCTTAATGTTGATAGCTGCTGCCTTGATTCACCAAGCCAAGGTAAAGTCTTTGGTCATTATCATTAAGTATGGAAGTTGGGGCAAAAGAACTCAAAGTTTCAGAGGGCAAGACCTAAATTCCACTAATTTTGAAGAGAGAAAAACATATTGAGGAAAACTAAGTTCCCCACATTTTAAATTTAATCTTTGGACCCTTCTGTACTTCAATGGATTGTTCACAATTCCATGTATTACTCATGACTCTTGTCTTTTCATCAACTGAAAGTCCTGTAATTCTACTTTGAATATATAATAAAATCTGTGAGAGCTGAAACTCGATGAGACTGCCTTGTTTTCCAGGTCTCACAAGTTTTCTGCCATTGACAGGGTGCAGCCTTACCATTTTTCTGTTGTTCCTATTAGTGGAAAATATTTGATTTTTCCTTCTCTAAAGGTTTCTGCCTTACACACATTCCAGTTTTTGCAGATTTTATTGTATATCTTTAATAGTGATACTTACCATCATCTCCATGGCCATCACCCTAGTCCAACTGTCAAGTCTCAACCTGACTAAAGTCTCCTACCTAACTGGATTCTTTACTTCTTCCTGCCCCTTCAATTTACATTCTATACAGCAACAGGAGTGGTTTTTAAGCAAAGGCAATCAGCTCTAATGGTTTCCCTCTACACATATAACCAAATCCAAATTCCTTACCATGGCTCACAAATCTCTACTTTGGCTGCCATTCCCTGCCTCTGTGATCACATTATCTACTCTAACTTTCTTAAAACTTCACAGACATACTGGCCTAATGCTGTTACTTTTCAAGGCATTTTGTACCAGTCATTTTCTCTGGTATATCTGCCTTTCAGACATTTGCAATGTATTCAGGTCACAGTGCAAATGTTTACTCTCCTGAGTGGCTTTCCCTGATCAATTATTCTAAAATGCTTCCTTCCTCCAGCTCTGTCACCATCTCAGAATCCTTTGTTGTTTCCCTCATAGCACTTATCACTAACTGTTTTTAGCTTATGTTACTTGGCTCACCTCAGTAGGATATAAGCTTCATAAAAGAAGGAACCATCTTTTTTGTTTAAAACTGGAAACCCAAAAAGGCTCTTGGCACACTGTAGGTGCTCAATGAATAACACTCATCCTCTAGCCCCTCAAATTATCTTCAAATCTTAAATCAAATTAATGTAACAATACCTTGTCATATTTAAGTAGTGTCCTTTATACTCTGAAACTCAGGCTCCTAAGACTTCCATGTTCTAGACCAAGTTTTGGCATAAGCTGACACTATGGCTATAAAAAAGCTTTTCATTGTTCTTGAGCATCAAGAGTATAGAGGTATATACCTACTCCTCGCCTATCGACTATCTCATTATCTGACATTTTGCATTTATGACAACAGTAAAAAAAAATCTATTATTGAACTACATTAACATATATCTGGTAGTAACGAATACCAAGATGCTGAGTGACAGTAATGTTGCCTGGGATAGTTAAGGTTCTGTGTCAACATGGCTGGGCCAGGATTCTCAGTGATTTAGCAGTTGTGTAATGATGTAATCATCCTCCATTGTGTGATCTGATGTGGTCATCTTCCACGTTCCCGTAACATCCACTTCTGCATAATGATCTTTGGAACCTAATAACCATGTCAGTGAGGAGTGGGTGTACTACAAATATTCTCAAAAAAAGAAAACACTTTTTCAAAGGGCTTGTCCTTCACCAACTTCGTACTATCTATAACTTCAACTTAAATGTATTCAGTCATACATACATATAGCTTTAAAGTCCCAAATACCTGGAATACATATTCCTAGGATTGAGGATAGGACACAGCCAGGATATTTATACCCTTGATTCTGCATATTTCCCTTCCTGGAATCCTTAATTGGCTTTTTTTCTTCATGCCTACAAGTAACTTTTCAAGTTCAGCTCACTTTTTAGCTTCTCTGGATGTTCCTGATATACCCCAGATGATATTTCTTTCTCTCCTATATACTTTATTGTTGAATGTTTTGCCCTAACGGGTACTTTCGGATTTAGAATACATAACTTTATATTAATAAGTTAACTATCACTGACAAACAGGATGCATTTACTTGGAGACGTGGACTCTCCTTTAACACAGGCTCAAGCACAAGGTCCCAAACACAAGGAATGTGTGTGAGAAAACAAAAGGTATGAGACTGGAAAATAAACGGAAGAATAAACGCTGCATCTCCTGAGACCGGGTCAACCTCAGAAAGCATCTCAAGGCCCCCCAAACTTTTTCTATCTTAAAACAGCGGCTGCACTGACACCCTAATCTCATTACTGGATTGAGGCTTTCGAATGACAGCAAAACAAAAAAAGAAAGAAAGAAAACTAGGGGACATCATATATTCAATGACGACGCAAGAACCAGTCAGAAACGTTCGCAGACTAGGCCCGATACTTACGGGGAACTCCGGCCAAATCCGCGTGCGAGTAACCTGCCCCGCCCGCTCCAAAAAAGCCAGCCAAGCCCCCTGTGGTTTTGTTGCCGCTTCCACCGCCTCCCTCCATAGTCTCGTAGCTCCCTGCCGGTCTGCTTCCCGCAGCCCCTCAGGCCGGGTCGTCTGCTTGGCCGTTGCTACTTAAAAACGGCAGGGAGACCCAGGTTACGAGCTCCTTCACACGCTGACCTTCCGGGGCACGGCACCCGTTTAAGTCCCATACTTCCGCTTTACGACAGTGCATGCCCCGGAAGCCGAAGGCGCCTTACGGCAGCTTTCCGGTGGTGGGAAAGTGAACGAAGGCAGTCAAAGCGGCGCATCCTGAGGCAGGTGGGGTTTCCGTGGAGCGGGGAAGGCAGGCGACTGGCTAGGGTCCGGCGTGGGAGGCCTGCGGAGCAGCAGCTGCAGACACAGGCAGTGGCAGAGAGGGAATGGTGCGGGGAGGCGCCAAGAAGGAGGCGCAGTCCGACCCTCTCAGGGTTAGTGAATGAGGCTCTCTGCCCGGGCCGGCCCGGGGACTGTGTGCTGCGGGACCCAGCATGAGCGCGGGCCCCGGCTGTGAGCCTTGCACCAAGCGACCCCGCTGGGGCGCCGCTGCAACTTCTCCGCCAGCCACCTCGGACGCACGGAATTTCCCCGGCAGGCAGGGGCGCGTCCTCGACTCCAAGGACGCTTCGGTGCAATTCAGGGTCCCACCGTCCTCTCCAGGCTGCGTCCCCGGGCGGGCGGGACCGCACAGAGGCAGCGCCACCTCGCTTGGTACGTGGGGAAGTAAAAGTCTTTGTCCTTCACCCTAGCCCAAACCTCTTTTTGATCTCTGTGTGCGAACTCGGGCTACAGTCACACCTTTCTGGACTTATGTGCACTCTGAGATCCTCTTGCTGAGCCAACAAGACAACTTAGTGGGAGAATGGGACCATATTTTCCTCGGTGAGATTGAAAGTGTGAGGAACTCTGATGAACAGTTATTCATAGGGTGTAAAATGTCAGGAGACTCCACTTGTTTGCATTTTTCAGGTTTGGTTGAGCAATTGCCTTAGTAGTCAAGGAGGTCTGATTGTGTATGTGATACAACAGTGCATTTCAGTCTATAGATAGGAAAATGTTGTAGCTTCACTCATTTAGATCCTGGGTTGCAGAGCTGTAGATCTTTGCTAGCATGGTATTAGCTACTGTGTACATTATTGAACAAGAGGAGGTTGACCTTTGTCTTTAGACCCTAAAATTTATCAAAAGTTACATAGGTTAATAAATAATGAGTAATGGATTCTCTGATACACGAAAGACTGATTATTATAGTAAGAGTTAAGGAGTACCTAACTTAGTCTGTAGGATCAAAGATAGTCTCTCAGAAGATTGAGTGCTATTGTGAGGCTTACAGAATTAGTAGGAGTTAGTTAGCTAGATGAAGGGAGAGAAGCTGAATGAAGTAGGAAAGTGTTCCAGGAGTTTGGTATTTAAAATGAACGAGTAGTTGAGAGATGGAGCTGCAAAGGCCAGCTCATGCTGGACCTCACTAAGGATTTTGAACTTTATCCCTAAAAGTAATGAAAAGCCATTAAAGGGTTTTAGATAGGGGAGTGACTTGGGCAGCTTTTTGTGTGTGTGTGTGTGTGTGTGTGTGTGTGCGCGCGCGCGCACGTGCGTGCACATGCGGGGGCGCTGAGGAGGTCCCTGTGGTTGGTGTGTAGAAAATCAAGAACAGATTGAAAGAGATCAGAAGTGGAAGGGCAAAACTAGTTAAAGAGTTTACTCTGCAGGATATACTGGTGGCTTAGACTTGGATGTGGGTCTTGAATTCAGGAGAGAATAGGATATATGGATTTGTATGTACCTCAGAAGATGAATTTTATATGTGCTGGAGATAAGGATATAGATTGGTGAGTTCTTGGCATAACATGATGACTGACAGTATGGTAGTAGATTAGATCATATAAAGCATGTAGAGAGAAGTAGTAAAGGTGACCTAGTATAGAACCTTTAGGAATACCAGCATTTAAGATTAAACAGGAGCTCTGGTAGTGTAGTGCCTAAGGCATTTGACTGCTAACCAGAAGGCTGACGGTTCAAACCCACCAGCCACTCCTCAGAAGGAAGATGGGGGCAATCTATTTCTGTAGTGATACTGCCTCAGAAACCCCAGGAGGGGTTGCTATGAGTTGGGTCCGACTGATGGCACATAACAACAACAACAGCAAGGGTAAACAGAAGAGAAGCTACCAGAGAGGTAGGAAAGCCTGGCCTGTCATGCAGAGACGTGAGCATTTCAGTAAGGATGTATCACTCAGCAGTGTAAGAAGCTGGGCAGACATCATGCAGTCCTCTGGAAAGTGGTGTACACTTAGGTCTCTCAGGACTTAGAGGCAGTGAGTAGCAGACCTAAGAGTTGAGCAGGATTTGCTGAATAAATCAAGGAAAGGAAGAATTATAGAGGCAGAGAGGACAGCATGTGTAAGTGTTGGTAGACTAGAGCATAGGAGCATAGCATGATAGAGGGTCAGATGAGGCTGAGAAGGTGGGATCATAGACAAACTTGATTGCCCTTTTAAGGAGCTTATCTTTATTCTTGGTATGGGAGGCCATTGAAGAGCTTTTAAGCAGGGAACTACTACCATTTGATTAATATTTTAGGAAGAATGGTTTAGGCATTAGCTTTTGGACTTTTCTGATAGCAATTCACAGAGTAACATATATAAATAACTTGTTAGTCAATTATATTTATAACTGAAACAAACATTTTATGAGATAATACTTTTACAACTCAGTGGCACATGACAACAAGTGTGATGTGTTCTTCCATTGTTTGTATTATTTAATTTGAAAAGTTCCAGTCATTTGTAATTTATAAAACATTGGTTTAAGACTGTAGGCAGGGAGGACCAGGTATAGGAAACAAATATAGTTATCTAGTAGTGATATGGGAGCTCAGGTAGCATAGTGGCTAAGGTACTTGACTGCTAACCAGAAGGCTGGTGGTTCAAACCCACCAGCCACTCCTGGGAAGGAAGATGGGGCAATCTACTTCTGTAGTGATACTGCCTCGGAAACCCAAGGAGGGGTCACTATAAGTCGGGTCCAACTCCACGCACAAAAGAACAACAACAGTAGTGATATACTGTTGTTATGTGCCATCCAGTCAGACCTGACTCAGTGGCCCCTCCTTGGATTTCCGAGGCAGTATCACTACAGAAGTAGATTGCCCCACCTTCCTTCCGAGGACTGGCTGGTGGATTTGAACTGCCAGCCTTCTGGTTAGCAGTCAAGTGCGTTAGGCAGTACACTACCAGAGCTCCTAGTCGTGATATACCTATTCTTTAATGATGGTGCTGTTTTGACCATGGAAAGGAAGGGAAAGATACAAGATTTAGATATAAGTGATATTTCTTACAAGATTATAATCTCATTTAAGTTTAGATTTCAGAGGAATGAAGGAGAGAAGAAACTGAGGACAACCACCAGGCACTGTATCTGACTTACGAAATCATGCAGTTTGTAGTCTCCTTAATTTTATTTGCATATCGAGGAAGAGTTAGTTATGGGAGTATAGTCAGTTTTCACTTGGTTCTTGAGTTTTCTGTGCAAGCAGAACCAAATTACATAATACTTGGGTTGTATTTCACATGTGTAAATGCTTTCTGTATACCTGGTACAGGACACCAATTAACAGAATCTTCAAAGTCTAAATTTACATCAGAAAGTATTGTTTTCTATTTTGGAGTTCTTTTATGAACTTGATACTTTTTTTGGAAAAAAGAAAGAAAAGGATAAATGGTTATCTAGGAGAAATAAGTGAGGTAGGTAAATGGATATTTATTCAGCATCTTTAAATTTTGTATGATTTATCTTCCTGGGTATATTTCTTGTATTAATTGAAATCTGTAGTTGTTGTTACGTGCTGTCGAGTCGGACCCCACTCATAGCGACCCCTCCTTAGCTTCTGAGGCAGTATCACTATGGAAGTAGATTGCCCAACCTTCCTTCCAAGCAGTGGCTGGTGGACTTGAACCACCAGCCTTCTGGTTAGCAGTCAAATGCCTTAGGCACTGTGCTACCAGAGCTCCCAGAACTTAACATTCTATTCACATTATGATGTTGTTGTTATGTACCGTTGAGTCAGCCCTGACTCATAGTGACCCCTCCTTGGGTTTCCGAACCCAGTTATGTGACTATAGGAGCTTCCTTTTTCTGTCATGACTACCTAGAGTTTCCCTCCCTACCCTCTCTAGGGATGGTCTAGATCTCAGGTATTGATGACAGAGCTGGAGCTGGCTTGCCCCTCATCCCCTTAACAATCTTTCAGCCTCAGTACAGTTAAAAGCATCTTAAGACCTTTTTCCTCATGTTGAAGCTGCCCCACCCCCACCCCCATTGCTCTTTGGTCTCACCACATCCCTTCTTTCCTCTTGCTGCTGCTGCAGGAAAGAGACTGTGGAGTTGGGGTGCACCTTTGAAATGCAGGTGAATTTTACTTCATGTGTGCCTTTTGCCTGTATCTTTAGTTGAATTATTTGCTCATTGACATACTCTGGTTACTGGGTGATGTTACTGATGAGAGTATGTGTAAATGGTGGGAAATCAGGATATAATTGGAGAACTGTTCATTTCAGTGAGAAAAGAGATTGGGTGGAAATTAGTTCATTCAGTGTCTGCTTTTTGAGTCTGTACACTTATATTTTCTCTTATTAATTCATATAATGGTTGGAAGGTGATCTTGTTAACCCTATAATATTAGTGAGAAAATAGAGGCTCAAAGAAATAGAGTAACTTGACTAATGTGGTACTAGTAAGTGTCTTGGTAAGATTTCAGTCCAGGATTATTTGATTCTAGACTTACATCTTTTTCATCCCTTTCTATTGCCTCCCTTTTTGTTTGCTGTTGTTACTACTAGTTAAAGAAACCCCAAGAAACCTCTGCATGATTTTATGCTTATTTTAAGGCCAAGAGGGATAAATTTCTGACACAGGTATATGATACGCTGAGAAAGAAAGCCCTTGGGAGCCTGAATAGTGGTATTGGAAAGAGAAGTATGATTCTTTCTCTGGGGCTCTCAGAAGGAAAGAAAGACTCCTTGGACTGAGAAATGTTTTATTAGCAGGAAAATCAGTACCTCATCTCTTGCTTCTCCACCTTCATCCCTTTTTTGGCCATCAGGCATCATAGTAGGTAGCCTGAAGCTAGAGAGAGAACAAATTGTCAGTGTCAGGGCTGTAGGAGAGAGCCTTCTTCCTGAACTGCACTGGAACATTCATTGTAGTTCTTTATGAAATAACATTGTATGTAGTCATTGAGTTCTTTAGCTTCTTGTGTTAGGAACCTAGCCATTGCATAGTACCTAATTCTTACATTTGAAGGAAAATGCGTTTTAAATTCTAAACTGATTCAAAAATAAAATTTTTGGTGTATTTCTGACTTACTGAGGAGTTTTCTGAACTATACTTGCTGGGTTTAATATAAAACCCAAAACCCATTGCTATCAAGTCAATTCCAACTCACGGTGATCCTGTAGGATGGAATAGAACCACCCCATTAAAAAAAGGGGGGGGGGACATGATAGAACCTCCTTATAGGATTTCCAAATTTTTAATATTTATGGAAGCAGACTGCCACAACTTTCTCCTGCAGAGTAGCTGGTGGGTCTGAATCACTGACCTTTCTGTTCGCAGTTTAATGCCTGCAACCAGGACTCCTTGTGTTTGATACAAGGAAACCAAATAGAGAAGTTACAACTATAGAAAATGTCTCAGAATCAAGCGGTTCATCCTCTTACACCCTTTTGACTAAAGCTGTTTTTTCTTTGAAGGCTGGTTTGCTGCAGAAGCAGTAATTTAATAAAATCACTAAACTGGTAGTATTTAACAACAAGAAATGTCAACCTCAATATTGTTTTGTTAGAATATTATTAGTCGGAATATGAGTATTTTGTGGAAGGTATAAATTATATGGCACTTGACTACATTTCTGGTATATAATTCTCCTCAAATGTGAAATGCAATTTACTTTTGCCATCATCTCAGTGATAAATAACTTGTTGATTTTTATATGTTTGACTCAGAATCTATTTTGAGGAGTGTTCTGGTGTTTGAGGAGACATAGATAAATAAGAACAATTCTATAACTTGAGAAGATGGCTAAATTCTTTCATTGCAATTTGAAGAGCGGTTGAGAATATTTAAGATTTTTTGTTTTCTTTGAAAATGTTATATAAAGGATCTCTGATGGCACAGTGCCTAAGAGATTTGGCTGCTAACCAGAGGTTGGCTTTGCAAACCCACCAACCAGCCACTCTGGCAGGAAGATGGGGTAGTCTGCTTCTGTAAAGATTAACCATCTTGGAAACTCAATGGGTGTTACTATGAGTTGGAATTGACTCAATGGCAGTGGGTAAAATGTTGTTGTTGTTGTTGTTATGTGCCGTCGAGTCAGCCCCGACTCATAGCGACCCCTCCTTGGGTTTCCGAGGCAGTATCACTACGGAAGTAGGATTGCCCAACCTTCCTTCCGAGGAGTGGCAGGTGGGTTTGAACCGCCAGCCGTCTGGTTAGCAGGCAAGTGTCTTAGCCACTATGCTACCAGAGCTCCCTTAAAAATGTTATATATATTTAATCCATATCCAACATATTAAATTTTGACAGCATTTATTTCTGATGCTCCGATGAAATGGGGCTTCCACTGATTTATGTTGCGTTTTTCTCTCCTGAACCATCAATTCTACTTTTGCTACTGTCTGCGTATTGTTTTCGTCTGGTTATATCTTTGACACCTTAAATTAGTATGTTCACAACTGACCTAATCATATTTCCCCCAAAACCCAGTTCTCCTGTATTCTAGACTTCTATTTAATGCTGTCACCAACCTTCAGGTCTCTTTAGCTTAAGCTTAGTGTCATCTTTAACTTCTCCTATCATTATGAAGTCTGTAATTATTCTCACTCTTCCATTTTTACCCTCCATCCTCACAGGGACTCGTTTTGGTCCTTGGCCAGTCGTTCTCCAACTTAGTTGATCATCAAAATTACTTCTTGAAAAAATATATATTCCAGCTCCCCACATACTGCCATAATGCACATGTATAGATTCTGGTTCAGTAGGTCTAGGGTGAGGCCCTGGGATCTTTATTAGTATTCTGTTGATTGAGATGGTTTGGGAACCACTGGTGTAGGCTCATAGATTTGGCACAGGTTTCTGACAGTAGGCTCTTCTTTCTTGCCCCTCAGATTTGCTCTTCAAGCTATCTATCTTGTACATGGCTGGGAGGCTCCTACATCTCAATTCTGGAATTACTACTCTAAATGTGATTTCCAACACATTTTGGTACCTCTTCTTGTGAAATTCAATGACCTTTGTGATATGGTCCTACCTGACTTTTCAACCTTATTTTCTGTTGCTTTCTTTTAAAATTCTTTATATTTCCCTGCCAGTGGTACTTTTGCTTATGATATTCTCTCTGTCTGTGTGATTATTCTTCAAGGCAAAATTCAAACATCACCTCTTCCAAGAAACCTTACCAATTATCCTCACTTGCTCCAGTCCCCTTAGAACAGAGAAAGTCTTGCCCTGAAAAGTACCATGGTTCCTTACCAGGACTTCTTTTAATAATACACATATTTAACTGAATACCTTTCATATACTAGCTAGCACCCTAAACATTTTACATGAATTACTTAAACCTCACAATAACCCCATGACAGGTACTGCTAATTTGCATGTTTTACAGGTAAATAAAGTAACTTGACTAATGTGGTACTGGTTAACTAGTATCTGAGACAAGAGGAGGTACCAAAATGTGTTGGAAATCACATTTAGAGTAGTGATTCCGGAATTGAGATCTAGGACCCTCCCAGCCATGCACAAGATAGAAAGCTTGAAATGACTTATCACAAGATGGAAGTGAGTGGGAGAACCAGGATCTGAATCCCAATGGCTTGATCCCAGAGCTTGTAGTCTTCTCCCTTAGACTGTACCAACGCTTTTAGGGGCTGGCCACTTGCCACCATATGCCACATGTATTTATGTGTTTGTTTCTGCCCTATTGCCTGAGTGTTGAGGGGTGTGATTAATCTCTGTTTAACCCGTAGAACTTAGCATAATACCTTGCATGCATCATATGCTATAGGTATATTCTATTTGAAGGAATGTATGCATAAACATTATTATTATTACTGTTTTTTACAGTTTTCAAACAAAAGACTATTACCACTTGGATGGACACTAAAGGAATCAAGACTGCTGAATCAGAAAGGTATAGAATCATGCCTGTATATAGAGAAATGAATAATGTCCTATATGGATGTTTTATTTTGCTTCATATTATTTTTTCTTCTTAACTTGCCCATTTTATTCATCTATATTCATTCATTCTTTGAATTTGTAATTAATAAACTTTTAAAGTCTCCTATGTGCCAAAAACTCTACAGTAACCTTGTGATACAGAGATGAAAGAGAAGTATCTCTGTTTTCAAGATACTTACAGTGTAGTGGTGACAGATACAAAGATACATTATTATTGAATAGTATACATGCAACAAAAAAGGTGTGAAGAAGGTATGGCAGTATTTAGCATAGAGAAGAAATGATCGACTTTACCTGTGGGTCTTGAGGGAAGACTACACAGAGAAGTAAGTGATGTTTAAGACTTGAAGAAGGGCAGGTGTTTGCCAGACTCACAGTTGCGGGGAGGTCATTATAGCCCCATGTGCAAAGACATGGAGTTATGAATGGGCATGATTTGTGCTTAAGTAAACATGTAGTTTAATTATTGCTGGACATAATGGGGATGTGGTTGGGCCAGTGATTCTTGTACCATAAATTGTTTTTAGTTTTTTTAATTCTCTTACAGCTTGCGTAGTAAAGAAAACAACAATACAAGAGCAGAATCCATGATGAGTTCTATACAAAAACATAATTTTTACCAACATAACATGGAAAAATTAGAAAATGTTTCTCAGTTAAATCTTGCTAAATCACCTGTTGAAAAAAGTGTACAATATTTGAACCAGCAACAGACTCCAACTATGTGTAAGTGGCAAAATGAAGGGAAACATACGGAGCAGCATTTGGAGAGTGAGCCTCCGGTAGTAACTCTGGTACCAGAGCAATTCAATAATGCTAATGTTGATCAGTCACTCCAAAATGATGACCACAGTGACACAGATAGTGAAGAAAATAGAGATAATCAACAATTTCTGTCACCAGTAAAACTTGGAAATGCAAAGCAGACCATGGAAGATGAATTAGCTAGAGAAACCAGAAGCAACCAGAAGTTCAGCAAGCCTTGTCATGCTATGGCAGACTGTGTAAGTTGTCAGCAAGAAGAGATAGATGTGCCAGAGAGTCCATTGTCAGATGTTGGCTCGGCGGATGTTGGTACTGGACTGAAAAATGGCAACAAATTGAGTCGACAAGAAAGTAGCCTAGGGAATTCTCCCTCACTGGAGAAAGAAAGTGAACCTGAGTCACCAATGGATGTGGATAATTCCAAAAATAGTTGTCAAGACTCAGAAGCAGATGAAGAGACGAGTCCAGGTTTTGATGAACAGGAGGATGGCACTTCCTCCCAAACAGCAAATAAACCTTCAAGGTTTCAATCAAGAGAAACTGACACTGAACCTAGGAAACGGTATTCTACAAAGGGAGGAGAAATAAGATTACACTTCCAGTTTGAAAGTGAAGAGAGTCGCCCTGGAATAAACGATTTAAATACCAAACTACCTGGAGGTACTCCTAGTCTGAATGTAGAATGCAAAAATTCTAAGCAACATGGAAAAAAGGATTCTAAAATCACAGATCATTTTCCAAGAATGCCTAAAGCAGAGGACAAAAGGTAATGCTTTTCTATCAGGAATATATCTCTCCAATAGTGTAATTCATTTTATGATTTTATTAGAAGATTTAACAAAGTCATGGTTTATAGTGAAGCAAAGAGATACTTGGGTTTCTTGTTTTAACTGTACTATTTTAAACCTAGACTCAAAATTTTAAGTTCTAAAAAAGGCCAAAACAAAACAAGAAGTAAAAAAAAATATTGGAAATCAGATTCTCTTAGTTTCATGGCTTCTTAAATTTATGAGATTATCAGAACATGAAGATATTACATTGATAGCTGTTAGTTGTTGTCAAGTTGATTCTGACTCATGGTGACTCATGTGCAGGGTAGAACTCCATAGAGTTTTCAAGGCTGTCACCTTTCAGAAGCACATGGCCAGGGTTGTCTTCCAAGGCACATCTGGGTAGATCTGTACTGCCAGCCTTTTAACTAGTAGTCAAGTGCTTTAACTTGGCACCATCCAGAGACTCCATATTTTTAATAGCAACTATATATTTTGCCGGACACTTCATAGACCATTCATGTTGTTGTTGTTATGTGCCATCGATTCGGACTCGACTCATAGCGACCCCTCCTTGGGTTTCCAAGGCAGTATCACTACAGAAGTAGTTTGCCCAGCCTTCCTTCCGAGGAGTGGCTGGTGGGTTTGAACCACCAGCCTTCTGGTTAGCAGTCAAGTACTTTAGGCACTATGCTACCAGAGCTCCTTAGATCATTCATAGACTATTATATTTTCCTCTGATATTTTGACAACTCTGCCAGATGGGTGGTATTGTACCCACTTTACAAATGAGAAAACCTGTATTTGGGTTAAGGAGTGTGCTGAGATAATGTAACTTGTAGGTGGTGACACTGGGATTTTAACAAGTTTGTCTGATTCCAAAGCTTATATTTTTGCCATTATCCCATACAGAATTTTAAAACCTCTTTTCAGAATTATGATTTCTGAGCATTTTCTAGCATGTGGGAGAAAGTTCACTTCTTTAAAATTAGTGCCTAGAGACTGGAAAGACAAGTCAGCATTTGCAGTGGATACTATGCACTGTAACTTAATAAGGCTGTACCCATATTCTCACATGGTACCTTTTTTCAGAAGGTGATTTCCATGAGTTTGGAAATTCCTTTTAGAGCTCTTGTGTTTTACTATAAGCTCTACATGGTTTACTTTAGCTTGTAAATAAAAATAAAAAACTGAGGAGAGAGAGAAAACTTGACTCAATAGTAAAGTTCTGGGTAAGTTTTCTATCTGTATATCCATGGGAATTTAAACAATAATTTGTGATTGAATACATTTGTCTTGGCCTTAGAAAAGAACAATGTGAAATCAAACATCAAAGGACAGAAAGGAAGATCCCTAAATACATTCCACCTCACCTTTCTCCAGATAAAAAATGGCTTGGAACTCCTATTGAGGAGATGAGAAGAATGCCTAGGTGTGGAATCCGGCTGCCTCTCTTGAGACCCTCCACCAATCACACAGTAACTATTCGGGTGGGTATTATCTCTTATCTAAAAAGAAAGATGTCTCTGAAATCCTGATTTATTGTGGTATGTATTAATGTGAAAAACAGACCAAGGCATAAATAATTCTTCCCTTTTCTGCATATATGCCATATTGAGAAATCTTCAGAATTTAGAAATATAATGGTAGTTTACTTAATACAATACTTAACAAATCAAGATGAATCATTGTCAGCTGATGATGAGATTGAATTTTTTTAGTATTTTAGAGAAAACTTGTTGGGTTCTTTTTTTTTTTTTTTTTTAACAATTTTACTGAGGTATATAAAATTTACCCATTTTAAGTGCCTGATTTGATGTGTTTTAGTAATGTGCTTAGCTATGCAACCATTAGCATAATCTAATTTAGAATATTTCCATTGCTTACTGAGTTTTTAAAAATACCCATCTCACACAGCCAGCTACCCAGAAGGAGCAAGTAGTTGAACCTGTGGGCTTGGGACTGTAGTCGCAGGGGACATCAAGCTCAATTGGCATAACACTATACAAAACATTGTTCTACCTCCTGCTTTGGCGAGTAGCAACTAGGATCTCAAAAGCTTGCAAGGAGCCATCTAGATGCAATGATGGGTCTCTCCTCATCCAGAGCAAAGAAGAATGAAGAAAACCAAAGATTCACAGAAACAATTAGTCCATGCGATCCTCAGCCTATATGACTATGAGACCAGAAGAACTAGATGGTGCTTGGCACTTGACTGCTAACCAGAAGGCTGGTGGTTCAAACCTACCAGCCACTCCTCAGAAGGAAGATGGGGCAATCTACTTCTGTAGTGATACTGCCCCGGCAACCCAAGGTGGGGTCGCTATGAGTCAGGTCTGACTTAATGGCACATAACAACAACAATAACACCACTGTCAGTCACTCAGAGGGGGATCTATATGGGAGATACTGGGTAGAGTAGGAGAACAATGTGGAACAAAACTCAAAATCATTTAAAAAAA